AACATCTATTCACTAAAGAGTTTATTAATAGTGAGCTTTCACTGTGTCATTGCTGGCAAGACCCCCAGCCCCCAAGAAAGAGAACAGGGCCAGGGGAAAGTCAGTGCATGCCCGTGAACCATTACCCACCATTTCCAAACTGGAATACGGTAATAACACCAGCTGCATTTCAGATACAAAGTTGGAAGTGGTAATAACTTATAATGGCTTCAGCTAACCATGTACAACGGGAAAATGACAAATGTGTCGTTTAGAACATGCCGGATTAAATAACAGTGACGTATATTAACACGGATGGATTCTTTGCAGGTTATTATGCAAAAAAAGGGAGGGTGTGATAACTCTAATTAGATGAAAGGGCTGGCCACTGTTTTTAACTCCTGGAATGCTTCAAATTCTAATATGTTCCTTGGATGTACCTGGAGTTGGGGGGGGGGGGGGGGGGGGGGGGGGGGGGGGGGATGCTGAGATTGTAATGAAGCCATTCAATTTTTATCGAGATGAGACACACACATCCCAGCAGCACCGGATACCCCACGTCCTGCAGAATTAGGTACTGGGAGGGCAAGCGGGTAAGTGGCTGTGATTTTGAGCACTCCCAGGGCACTGCTGCCACAATCCTACTGCTGGTTCCTCGTTTGCTCAGGAACAGCACCAGAGCTGGTGTTCTTGGGTGGAGGGGCAGCAGTCAAGTTCTCGTCAGTACAGTGTGTAACCCATCAATTTCCTGATTTAGTAGGAGGCTACACGAGAGTGCCAAGATTCTCATCTCCCAATCTTTAGACAACTGTCTTAATTCTGCCTTAAATGAAATCAATTCCAAAAGAACAAGAAAACACCAGATTAGACACTCTAAATGCCTCGTGTGTAGCACAATACTGAGCAAATCACAGATGGTCTGAGCTGGAAGAGACCCTGGGCAGCCCCCTGACCCATCCACCTGGGAACACAGAGAGGGTCAGTGACTAGCACAAGGTCACACAGCAAGTATGTGGCAGAGCCCAACGCAGCATTCCTGGTCTGTGGGTTCCTTGGCTAATTTACCAAACCTTTTTGGCTGAAAACCTTTGAAAGGTCTACTTTTATTATTATTATTATTAGTTTGGCTCCTGTTCATTCAAGATAGATTTTTCAAAAATCAAACATTTCAACATAATTGCAAATAGTAAATGGCTTGCCATATCTGGACCTGTCACTGCTGATTTAGCAAACAGGCTTCAAGAGAGGGAGGGGAGCCCCTAGAGAGAGGACAGAATCCTCACTGAACTGCTCTGGGCAACAACAGATACTTGATTTGTGAGACAGAGAAGTGGAAAAACTTTGTATGTTCAATCTCCTCTGTTTCCTGGGAGGGGTGACCCTCTCTGACTCATGAACTCTTCAGTAACTTGATTCCTAAAATTTAATTTTCTTTTTATTACACACACACACACACACACACACACACACACACACACACACACAATCTCTCCTTCCAGAAGTTCAGAGGATCTTTCCTCCCTCTTTCTACCTATAAGAAAAAAATAAAAGTTTGAGGGGTGCCTGGGTGGCTCAGTCGGTTAAGTGTCTGACTTCAGCTCAGGTTATGATCTCACGGCTTGTGGGTTCAAGCCCCGCGTCGGGCTCTGTGCTGACAGCTCAGAGCCTGGAGCCTGCTTCAGATTCTGTGTCTCCCTCTCTCTCTGTGCCCCACCCCCCACTCGTGCTCTGTCTCTCTCTCTCTCTCAAAAATAAATAAAATTAAAATAAATTAAAAAAAAAGAAAAAAATAAAGGTTTTAAAATCAAAAACACATCTCACATCTCAATAGCCAAAACACAGAAATAACCTGAGTGCATATTGACAGGTGAATAGAGAAAGTGTGCGCACACGTGCACGTGTGCACACACACACAAACACACACACACAGTGGAATATTATTAGACCATAAAAAATGAGGTCCTGCCATTTGTGACAACATGCATGAACCCAGAGGACGTTATACTAAGTGAAATAAGGCAGACACATAAAGACAAATGCTGGATGATCTCACTTACAATGTGGAATCTAAAAAGCCTAATTCACAGAAGCAGAGAGTAGAACAGGGGTTGCCAGAGGCCCGGGGTGGAGGAAACAGAAAAGGTGGAGGGAACAGGAAAATGCTGGCCAAAGAGTACAGACTTCCAGTTACAAAATGAGTATGTTCTGGGGATCTAACACCCCGACTGCTGATTGTAATTAATAGTTTTGTATTGTACACTTGAAATTCGCTAAGACAGCACATTTTGAGTGTTCTTCCCACAAAAATAAAATAACTACGTGAGGTGATGGATAATCAGCTTGATCACAGTAATCATTTTACAATGTACAGGTATAGCAAATCAACAGACTGTACACCTTAAATGCATACAATTTTTATTTGTCAATAAAATAAAATAAATAAAATTGTCGATAAAATAAAGCTACTTCACTAAAGCCAGGGGAGGAAATAAATAAAGAAAGTAACAACGAAGAGAAAAAGAAAATATGTCTTGCATTAAATGCAATGTGGTATAGGGAACAGAAAAAGCAGAAAAACTGGTGATATTTGAATAAAGAATGGAGTTTGATTAAAGGAATGTACCTTTATCATAAAAGCCTCTGACATGGTGCCCTCCAGTGCTGTAGCTAATAAGGAAGGGCTGAAAGTGGAGAAATCCAAGTTAAGGGCAGTTTGTTAACTAGGAGAGAAGCTGGAGTCCCTTTTGGCTTGCAGTTAAGGGACTTGCTGCCCTTGGTTTTGTGGAAATGTGTCAACAGCTCCAGGTGTCCCTCTACACTGTCCTGAAACTCCCAGTCCGTCCTGTAACCCGGAGGTGCTCACAGAGGCCCCAGAGACAAGGTTCCGCCTCCTCCGTTTTAAATTCCACCCACGGAAAGTCTGTTTCCCTTTCCCCCTGGAGTTAAGGTGACACAAAGCAGTGTGCATTCTGCCTGTTGCTTCTGAAGGTTCCAAAGGGGTGCATTCTGGGCTGGTTGCGTCTGGCTTTGGCCAGAAGAAGGGCACCCCGAGGCTGGAGTTCATTCTGCCTTTGTAGACCCCTCCGTAGAAAAAGTGACAGGGACGCCGGTGGCTGCTCAGTCCAGAAAGCTCTCGCCCAACCAAGGACAGTTCTGCTCCTCTGGCGACACAAAACTATACCACAGAGAGTTTAGGTTTTACTAGACCAGCTAAGGCCTGCCCTGAGTCACAGAGTAACGGGACTACGGTTCAGATACAAGATGCAGAGTGCCACTGATGAAATCGGGGAGGGCTGAGCTGAAGCTCACAACCGAGCCCCTCCAGCCACCTGGCATGCCTGAGACTGGAGTGCAAACTGACAGGAGAGCTCGTGTTTTGAATGGCAGGTTACCGGAGGCCTTTGCAAAGTCCATCTCCTTGTGATGAGTTAGTTACAGGAGTCTTTTAAAATTGCCACTAAAACTGAATCCATGTTTATAACTGACCATTTGGACTAAGTGTCTTTGGAGTATAAATTCATTATCCGGGAACTCCAGACCTTCTAGGGCCAAAGGCTAACGGACTATTTCTTTATAAATATATGGAATGTCAGATAAAGGGAAAAGACTGATGTGGGGGGAGGAGACAGAGAGGAGGACAGGTGCATGGAAATCCACAAGAACCTGTGTCTGCTCCACACCCTCCCACCCCGAACAATATCAAGCAATCAGGCGTCCCCCAGAAGCAGCAGAGTAGTGTCTAAAATCCTCAAGGGGCCAGGGGCAAAAGGGTTGGCAACAAAACAAGGAAAGGCAAAGTCAGGGATGAGATGGCTGTGCCCCAGGAAAACAGTCAGGAAGTGGGCTCAATTCACACCTGACCACAGGTCACTAAAGAGGACACAGGAAGTAGCCCCGGGCCTCTGCTGCTTCAGCATTTCCTCTGAGCATTTCCCAACAGCCAGCAGGCCCCAGCTGGTGTCCAAAACACCTGCACTGAGGAGGACAGGAGGACACAAGGCAGGGACAAAAGGTGGGGTGGTGAGAAGCTGGGTCACAGGGCAGCCCAAATCCCTAGGAAGCATTTTCTTTGCAGAAGCAGAGTATGCCACTGTCTTTCCCCCCCTCCCAAATTCTTCACTTCCTGTATGAAGGTGGGCATAGGTGGCTTGTGTGTATAAACACCGGCAAGGGATCCTTGAATCCGCACGTACACCAAACACTATCCATCTCATACTCCAACTGGTTTTCAACAGCCCTCGGCGTGAGATTTAGCAAACACGCAACTGCTTTAAACAGCCTGATTAAATCCTTAGGAGACTGTCCCCATGAGGTTATTTTTCTCAATTAACAGACACAAAAAGTGCAGCTACTCTTAAGGGGGTGGAGGATATATTTCTGACATCCAGGCAGGGGACTCATTTCCAACAAGGCTAAGGACACTTATACCATCCGGTCACTCCACTGTCCAAGTGAAGATCCAGAGGTTTGGAAAGGAAAAGTAACTGGACCCAGGACACACAGCCTGTACATAAGCAGCCAGGTCAGATTAGAGCTCTGTGCATCACCAGAACAGCTTCCCTGGGCTACTTTGGTGCCAACAAAACTTTCTTTCAGGAGCAACACCCTGCAGAACTAGAATAGCAACAACAGCCATGTGGGGGCCTCCCGGTGACTACTGGGAGCCAAGAGGAGACCTTACCCTTTTTTAACGCTCATAAGACTTCCTGTACCTTTCCACACTTTGTAATCATACATTTGCCTGAGTATTTGATAAGGTCTGTCTCCCCCACACTACTAGCCTTTATGCCTCACGAGAGCAAGGTGCAGGTCTGTTTCACCCATCACGGTATCCCCAGTGCCTGGTAGCTATTGGCTAAAAAAACCCCAAAAACCTACATGTTCCTGTTCGAAATAAACATTTTTTTAACATTTTTTAAGAAAAATGGGGCCCAGAAAGATTAGGTAATTTTCCTAAGGACACACACAGGCAGAGCTACTGTCACTCTGCCCCTGTACTCGTCCCCAGATCACAGCCTTACCTTGACTGCCTCAGCGTGGGTCACCCGGGCAAGGGATTTGTCGTTGACACGCAGAATCTGGTCCCCGACTCGCAGCCCCTCCTTCTCGGCCAGAGAGCCTGGCTCCACCAGCGACACATAGATGCCCACGCCATGCTCCGAGCCCCCGCGGATGCTGAAGCCCAAGCCCTCGTGGGCCTTGGCGCGCCTCAGGCTCACCAGGCGCACCTCCCCAGGACCCGCGCCGTCGGGGCCGCCCCAGGCAGGCTGCCGGTAGGGGGTGGTGGCGGGCAGGTAGAGGCCCTCGGCCGTGTACTGGTCGAAGAGCAGCTGGTCGGAGCGCGGGATGACCAGACGCAGCATGGGCAGCAGGCGCCGCTTGACCGGGCTGTCCAGCAGCACGCGCAGGGTGCGCACCAGGTCGAAGACGTTGCGGCGCGCGTGGTACGCGTTCAGGCAGTGCGTGAACTGCTCCCGCTCCGCCTCGCTCAGCAGCGCCGTCAGCGCCTGGTGCAGCTGGCGCACGTTGGCAGACAGCAGCCGCAGCCCCGCGCCCCCGCCGCCGCCCGCCCCGGCCGCCGAGCCCAGCGAGCCGGTGGAGGACGAGCTCACCGACAGGCCGTCCAGCTGCGCGTTCATCTCCCCGCCGAGGCCCGGGCGGACGCGGGGCGCGCGGTGGGGCGGCCGCTGCACTCGCCGGCACTGGCGCGACAGCCTCGGGGGAGGGGGGGGACGGCGGCGGAGACCGCGGCTGGAGTCTGGCTTCGGGGCGAGCGGGTGGGCGCGGAGAAAGGGGCTGCTTCCCGGGAGACGCGGAGACGGCGCCGGAGTCTGGGTTTGAGGGGCGCGGAAACAGTGGCAGAATCCCGGGGGGATCGCGAAGACCGCCGCTGGAGTCCCGGGCGCGCGAAGACACAGGGGTCGCGTTCCTGGAGTCCGAGGGGCGCAGAGACGGCGGCTGGAGTCGGGAGGACACGGACACGGCGGCCGAAGTGCCGGCAAAGCGGAGACGGCGACAGGGTCCCGGGGGACAACGAGTTGGCGGCTGGAGCCCCGAGGTCGCGGAGGCTGCGGCTGCAGTCCGGGGGGACGCGGAGAGCAGCTACATTCTGGAGGGCACAGAGACGACGGGTGTCTGGAGTGGGGGGCGCAGCAGAGCTGACCGCCCCGTCACACCATGCCCGGGGCTCCCCCAGCCGGGCCGCCCGTTCCTCTCGGGCTGGGGGACCCCAAAGTCATAAGTTGAGGTGGGGGCGCTCTAGTCCCAGAGCCCCCCGAACCGCAGCCGGTGAAGCCGCGCGGGCGTCCGGCAGGTGCTGCGGGGCATGTCCGGGGATGCAGCAGCCCAGGGACCCCCCGCGCTCTTGCGCCGCCCGGGCGCAGACGGAGCCGCGCGGCCTCGAGCCGGGACTTTGCGAACTGTTGAGCTGCCTGGGGCCGATCTTCCAGCGAGTTCCGACGCCGTCGCCGTCGCCTGCCCAGACTTGGCCCCGCCCCCTTGCCCCTCCCCCTAT